AGAATTTGTATCATAGAGTCAATGGCATATGTAATAGCTAGGAGAGCTACTGGTATGCTGTTCAGTGGATACACTCTCCTCCCATCAAGAAAATCACAACAAGGTGAGACCTCAGAGAGAAAAGAATGAAGTTGTCTGTATATTGAAATAGTTTTTAAACATTCATATGCTAGACGTCAATTAAGAGGAAGAAATATATAGATACTTAAAATGACACAGAAAATTCAGGGAGATAGTAATGCATTGCATGGATGGAAAATTGAATACAATTTTTGAAGAAAGAAAACCTAGTAAGTATATTAAGCATCTGACTAGTATCACCATAGTGCCTCAGTAGATACGCAGGCTTAGCAAGGGATGGTATGCTTTGGCATAAATCTGATATGGGCTAGGCCTGTGCGTGTGTTGAGAGATTTTTGAGATAGACAGTACTGAAATATTTCATTGTCATGATTGTCAGCGTTGCACTCATTTTCTGAAGTATGACTAGAGACCATGATACAGGATGTAAATATCAGCATAGGTTACATAAGATAAATTTCCTGTGACATGGTTTATTTGGAGAAGATAATCCCATTCTCTTTCCCCATGAAATTCAGCATTTTTCTGAATTCCAAATTTTGGAATTTAGCATGGTTTTTGCAGTGAAAGGCACTGTGTATTACTGATTGATTGCCTCAGTTCTGTGTAAGCCAGCAGGCTCTTGTCTCTGCATAGAGCCCCACTGTGTTGTTCAAGCTCCATGTGTGGGCTTTAAACCTCTCAGCTGTCTTTGAAGTAGACATTCTTTTTCATCTGTTTTACATGTGGGAAACTGCTATGTAGGCTGATAATGTGTCTTTGCTCTCTGAAAATTCAGTAAATAACGTCAGAGACTTGAGAAACATTCCACGTTGTACTTTTTTTAGCTTTAGAGTATGTTTTGTCTAAGGTAGTCTATTAACATCAAATACAAATTGCCTCGGAGACAAAGCTTAGAAAAACAGTGTTGCCGTTCCACACTGTACCTGTGAAATCCTTATCGACATTGTCCTTATAGCCCTGTTGCATTATTTCTGTTTCGTCTTTGGATCCTTACTTATTTGATAGACCAGTCATTCACCTCCATCCTCCTGCTCTTTCATGAGGTTCAGTACCACTGCACTGGAAGGCGGTGCAGACTTCTCACTCCCTGAGGAATTAAAAAAACCCATACTTTCTTCCCTTCTTCTTTTAAGCTGGATTCTTTTCTGGTTTTTGCATTTTGCTGTATTTTGTGCCACAGGAACAATGTTCGTGATGTGGGTGTCACTTTGCTTTGATGTTTAGCCATCCTTGAAAGCTGTTTATGCTTCATGTGCTCCTTTGTCATGAGCACTCTCTCTTAAATAACCTGGCATCCTGACAAGATATTTAAATCCACAAGTAGGTATTACTAGCTGTTTGTTTCTTCCAAGATTTTTGCTGTATATGTAGAAACACACTTTTTCCATAGTGCAAAGAAAGAAGGTAAAAGTTGTATAAGATCAAAGCATCTGCTATTTTTATTTTTGAATGTAATCCCTGGATGATGCACCATGGGCTAGCTGGAAATTTGATCTTTATTGACTCTGCCACCTAAGAGAAAAAAGAAAAGAGGTAAAACCGAAAATAGTAATTGGAAATAGCTCCTGTGGAGCAAAGCTGTCATGAAGCAGATTGATTCAGCAGTGGCAGAGTTGCTTTATTGATTGTGAGTCCTTAGTAAATTAAAAAGAGGACCAAATGCGTTAATCTTTTGTGTGCGTGTGTGTGTGTGTGACAGTGACAATTTAGTATGTTCTGCCAGGATAAAGACACATATAGCAGTGTGGGAATGTTATCTACTTCAGTCAGTAATAGGCTTTTCAGAGATAAGAACAGAGTTCTTCAAAAACCCTTCTGGGTCAAATATTCTTTACTGTACTGTAGACAAAGAATAGAAGAAATACTGTTGCTTGGTTTTTTAAGTGTTCAGGTGCAGTTATTCTAGATAAACGAATGAAGCATAGGAATTGCACAAATTTTCTTCAGATGTTCACAGTGGGTTCCTTAAATTTGATTCTTTGTCTGCATTGCAATGTCAAATTTGTTGTTAATAGAAACAGTGCAAAACTTTAATATATTCTAGCTGAGGATCTCTGCTTCATAAGCAAAAGTCAGTTTTGGATTTGGATTTTTGACTCTTTCAGTTACTGCTCATTACTTAATGTCATCGCCCATTTGCAAGTAAATGAATCCTTTATTTATATTTTCGTCCCCAAATCATCTCTGCTTGTTATAAGGATGATATTCATTTAGAAGGGGAGCAGCCACACAGTGTGAGATGATAATGCAGAAGTTTTTCCTCCACAGAAAAGTAGGGAGCAGGGACAGAGCTGGGATCCTGTGCTGGTGAGGACTAGACTTGCCAGATGTTACGTACAATAGGTAATCTCCTGCTTTTCAGCCTCAAATTCTGCACCATCAGAAATTTGTTTGTCATATTTCTTGTTGGCTTAGCGTAGCTGAAATTCAGCCAGGAGGACATGCTCTCTTCTTCTACTGTCTGCTATTTTCCTGCTACTTCTGCCTGAAAATCCAGCTACCAGGGATAGTTTTGTGGCCTCTCATTCCCAGTGTGCTATCTGTTACAGAGTGCTCTGAACCTCTGCTATTTCGGATGCACAGTTGTTAACAGGACAGTGTTTGCAGAGCATCTTCTGCTAAGAGACTCTGGGGAGCCACACAGTTGGTGCGGGAGAAGGAACTGGAGATGAACGAGGTAAAGCAGCGGAGAAGGCAGGGGGCTGGAGGAACTGTTTCCCACTGCTTCATACAGAGTCCCCCAGCTTGGCGTGCAGAGAAGTGAAAGGGAATGAGGTCCTCTTCCAGGGCCAGGAGCGAGATGGGAACTGGAAGTGTAGGAGCCCCCAGAGAGCTGGCAATCATTGACTCTTTGAGAAAGTGCTGTTCTTGAACATCAGCTCCAAGAATGGGGCTTTGTAGCTATTACTGATACAGAAAGAGGGACAGCGGGGTAACTGAGCCTCCAGGAAGGTATCTGGACAGTCTCATGATCAGTTTATTCTGCCATACTTCTGAAGAACCCCGTCTCTGTCTTGTCCCCTCACACCTGTCCCCCGACAGCAGTGAGCCAGATGGAAAAAGACAGACTGAAATATCATCTCACCCATTTCATCCAACCACATCACTTCCCACTTCTTTTCTTTTTGTGCTTTTCCTTTGCTTACTTGCTGGTCCTGATTAGTCATCCTCTGGTTTCTTTGCCTTGCCAGATGCTACATCTTTTTACAGAGGCTTGCACCTAGTCGTGCTTTATGGGACGGCCTCACCATCAGATCTGTGAAGCCACTGTGTTTTCTCCTTCACCCCATGCTTCTTTGAAGAAATTGCTAAGTGCAAGGGAAGGAGTATATTAGCAAGTGGCTGCCATTCATCTATTTGTGTAGCTATTGAAGTGTTTCATAATCATTAATCTGAGCTTATAGGTAGGCTTTATTCCTGTTCCCCCATATTTCTCTTCTCCTTTCAGCCCCACTGTTTGTCACCTTCGTCATTTCTTGCCTTAAATTTAGATAGCTCGACAGGAGAAGCTGTGTCACTCTATGTGGGTGGTACTACAGCGTAAATAATTTTTTCCCTAGAAATGTAAATGCCATTGTAGTTTGCTTCAGTGTGCACAGCATTACATAGTAAATGTTCTGAGTGGTAATTTGTAGTGTTTAAAAGTCTTGCTTATTCAGTCTCTGTCTTGCCATTTTTTTTGTGCTGAATGACTGATCATTGCACCACTGTTTTCTCTTCGTTAAACGCATCTGTATGCAGAAGCAGAACTGCTTAATTTGTTTCAATCTGGCATACTGTAGTAAGTCTGCTTTTAAATTGTATACTTAGTAGGTTACAAATCAGGTGGCAGCACTTTCATGGTGCTAATTCTCCAGCGTAGCTGGAACCACTGACTTGAATAGTTTTTGACCACTTTTCTTTTTTGGTAAGTCTTCTGTAACTCGTTTGGCTTGCTTAAACGACTTGCTCCTTATTTTCCACAGCAAGAGTTTCTCTCATTTGGGAAATGTAAAAGGATAACATTCCTAGCCCAAGCAGAAGCAAAATGTAGCACTGCCATCTGGGCTGTGAAATTGGAATAAAGCTGAAAGCGTTACCTCAATATATTGCCATGGCTAGAAGCCAGGTGGCAAATAATAAAAGGATGGTCGGGTAGTTGGCATGTTAGTCAGGATCTTGGGAGACTGCATGTGCTTGTTGTGCTGTAAACCTCCAAGAATGTGGGCCGGTTGGAAATTATTTTTCTCACCTAATACTGGTTATCTAAATGTTATGTATCCAACTCTGAGTTAATTGTCTCAGCTCAATCTGCTGTGAATGGATAGGCATTTCCAGAGGGCATAGGGTCATTCCACATCACCTAGCTCTACATTTTAGACTAGGATGAATCACTCTGTGGAGATACTTGTGTCTCTGCATAGACTTCACAAAAAGACAGTAGCTGACTGCCTTAGCCCAGGTACCTAACTTTCAGATGCCTGAGTTACAGCAAATGAGCCCTCTCTTCCTCTTACGCAGTTGCCTTTGATTGAGGGGTAGTAATCCTTTCCTGCCTCACAGGTACACACAGAGATTAAACGGTGCTACCGTGTTCTCACAAAGAAAACTATTACTATGAAAAGAAAAGAAAATACACACACATATATATATTTATATATATTTTTATATATATATTTTTTAGTAAATTAATAATCTGTATATGCACATATATTTGTGAGTGCCTCAGATTTTTGAACACAGTGCTGAAAGGGAGAAATCTTAAGGGCAGAAACGTAGAGGCTTTTGCATCCCTAGGAAGTCGTAGCTGTTTCATGGCAATATTCTGATGAACACATTGAAGAGGCAAACAAAGCAAGGACTTAAGAATGCCTGGCATGTATATGAAGCTCTGTAAATCATGCTCATTTGTGGTGGCTGGTTTTGTTTCTTTTTAGATTGTGATGGATTTTAAACACCCTGATGGCCATACAGTGGCAATTATGCTGCCCCGATGCAGTTTACTGGTGATGACTGGAGAATCCAGATACCTGTGGACACATGGGTATGTGTAAGAGTCCCTGCATTGCTGATAATAGAAGAATAATGTGTGTTGTTTGTTTGCTTTGTTAATGACATTCTGTATTTAAAATAGCTCTGAAAGAAATCACAGCAAGTTTTATAATTAATGTACAAATTCAGTCCTCTGCTCAGCTTAAATTGAAAAAAATGGGGATTTTAGGAAGCTAATTGCCAGTCCCTGAGCTGCAGTTTCCTGCTGCTGTCACAAGTGAAGTTTCGCTCGGAAATTGCTCTCACTTACGTCTGCAGTGTGAAAGTCCTCAGTGACTCTGAGCTGGCAAAGAATTGATTGTAGTGCAATTAGCTTCCCCATTTCTTTTTTCTCTTTTTCAGCCCACAGCTTTTCCCATTGGATCACATATGCCAAACGCTTTAGAGAAGGGCTGGTTTAAGAGAGTGACTTCCCCGGCACAGAGGGCATGAGGGTGACAAAGGGGAGTCTTGCTGAGCTCTTCCCAGCTGCTTTAGGGGCAGTGTAACTGCTGATAAGGCTGCATTGTACTGAGCAGGTTTGGGATCCTGGAAAAGAGATTTCTTGAAATATGTCTTGAGGCTTTGCTTATTGTAGAGTTTAAATACATGCTTTTTAAATCATGCACCACTGGGAGATACTTACAATAGGAGTGCTGAAATTGGCAAAAAGGCTAAAACCTTGGCAAGCTCTGAGAGTGACAGTAGTGCACTTCAGGAGAATGTGGAAACGTTCATATTGGACAGAAATGCCCATGGTAAATGCTTCTTCCTTTGTTTGATCCAAGCCATCACTGGTTACAGCAGTCAATTGGAGACACTAATTACATTCTGTATAAATTAAACATCAAATCCTTTTATTGGCAGAAGATTTTCTGCCTTTTAATTTTACTAGTTAATTTATATTATGAAGAAGGGTGAACGTGAACTCCCCAATGACCTTTACGTTGTTCATTTTTACAGAGCGCTTATACCACTTGTATATTCCCTCATTAAATTAAATAGTTGTAAAAAGCAGCTGGTACTCCTGACGTGCATCACTATAGAAGCCCAGGGCAGCGAAGTCCTTTGTTTTTTGGTATACAAGACTGAACACTGATACCAGCATTATAAGCTGCTTATTCTGTCCTGCCAGATACTGTCAGTCATCTTTTAGAAAGGTTATCTACAACTCTGAGAACATAGTACAGTTTCCATGTCGGTGATGTTGCTGGCCTGGGGAGCCAGGGGGCAGCCCCCAGCCCTGGGCATCAGGCACCTCCGTGGGACTGGGCTGAGGCCAGCTTGGGACGTCAGCCTGGGGGTCGGGGCCCGGATCAGCGGGGCAGTGGCTGTGCACAGACACAGCTGGGGATCCTCTGGGGCTGTAGCTGGGGCAAGGCCCAGTGAGACAGCCTCTGTTTAAAAGCAGCTCCCAGGGGAAGGAGCAGTGGCCCTTGCTGAGGCTTCTGCCTGTCTTCATGGCAGCTTTCTCCAAGGCCACCAGCTCTGCTCTTTCCAAGCTGGCCCTAGGCAGCCAAACTCCCAGCAGGGGGAAGGATGCATGCAGGGCACTTGCAGTACTTGCCAGCAGGCATTCAAGTTGGGGCAGTGTACCTGCCTGCTGAGAACTGGAATGAGATAGTTACTTAACTCACTTGTACGTTCAAGTGATGGTTGTCTTTTGAGAACCAGTCACATAAACTACATGTAAAATGAAGATCCCAGATCTTTCTACTCATGTATAAGTTATTCCAGTCCCAGTGCTTGTCCACCTTTCCTAAAAATAGTTCTGTATTTTTTTAAAAGCAGTAGTGGGTCAAGATACTCAACTGGAGTAAGCTTTGCAACATGCTAGTGAAGCATACTATTGTAATCAATACGACTAATCATCCAGCAAGCAAGTGTAGTTAATTCACTTGCATACATAACGTCAGGATGTATTTAAGATCATTTGCGATGCCTTTTATCTACTCCTCAGATGTCAAATTAGAGAGCAAAAGGTTCAGTTTTGGAATTATTCTGGAAGTGCTTTCAATGTGTATATTTGGATGCCAGGGGAATGAGTGACTTCATTTTGACCCTGTTAATAAATGCACAGGAAAAGGCTTTTTGTTCTGTTCTGTCTGAAAGAGAAACATATGGTTAAGAAATAAGCTATACAGTGTCATCAAGGAGAGCAAAAGATATGTGCTCTTTTTGTCTCATAGGTGAAAGTAAGATTACGGTTTTTCTGGTGAGGTTCACTTGTGATGTTTTTTCTGATGAGGTTCGTTATTGGTTGGGTAACCTGGCAAAACACCGTTCCTGACACTGCAATAGTAATACAACTCTGTGCCAAGCAAGACAGCATGCAGCATTTTATTTTTGATGTTGGGAAGCCTGTTTTTAGCCCAGCCTTTGTCTGGAGTTCTTGCTTGTAGTATAGGCAAAAGGAAATTATGTAGGTTGAAACTAGAACCTTGAAAAAGAAGACTTATTTCTGAAAATATTAGCTGCTATGCTTAGCTTATTGCTGCAGGTACAAAAGAAAATCAAATAGAAAATCTGCAGACTTGGGATTTGAAGTTCTCCTGTCCAGGGAGTCTTGGGCATCCTCAGCTGATGATTTCATCATAGCTTCATTATCTGCCATGAACAAGACAGTTCTTTATTAGATCCCGTCCTTTCCATGGCTGTCTTTGGGATATTTCCATTCTTGGGGCTGCTCCGTGTCTCCTTTTTGCAACATCTAGATGGAGCATCAATGTGCTGCTTCCTGATTTCCAGACAGAAAAGACCTGCACTCTTTTTCCCTGTGACTTGATTAGAGAGCAGCTTCCCTGTGGTAGGAAAGATGGCGTACAGCAAAGTACGGGAATGCTGATCGGGCTGCAGGCCGCCTTCTCAGCATTTGGATCATTCTTCTTGGTTAAGTACAGGCACTGGTCCGTGGTTTCACGTGACCTGCAAAAAAGTTCCAATAGAAATTTGAGATGAGACTGGGCGCTCTGCTTTATTAGAAGATGTAAGACACTTTTTTCCCCCTTTTGGCTCAACCGATGAGGGTTAAACTCAGCTAACCAATACGGAAGTCAGTTTTACACTGAAAGTTTGTCCTGCTGGGAGTCAAGTACTTTGAAGTCAGCAGCTCTGAAGGGGCTTCACTGAGAGGCCAATTCCTTAGAGATGATGTTTTTTTTTCTTGAGGAAATTTCTGCATTAATCTCCTTGATGACTAAGTTCAAGAAGCATTTCAGTGTGACAGTAACAGCTTTGAAGTGCTAAGCTATTTCCCTGAGTAGTTTCCATTTTGTTCCAAGAGTATCTACTTTTTCCCATGTGCAAGTGATGGGAAACCACATGTGGGTGCAGCTGTTTCTCTTCTCTCGTGTTTCTCATGTTACTTTCTCATTTTCCTCTTCTGAACTTTAAGAGAGATCCATTGGTAGAGCTGTTAAAATTCTTGGGTTTGGTACTTTTTCATCATGTAAATCTCTTCATAAAATTATTTGAAACTTTTGTCACCCCAAAAACATTCCAAATCACTTTGATTTTGTGAATTTTGTCCTTGCAAAAATGTTTTTGTTTTCCATTAAGATCAGTGCCAAATCCAGAAGTAGCTTAAGAAGCTCTGGTCCCAGTTTGCTTGATTGATAGATAGATTTTGGTCAAGAAAGATCTACAGCGGAGTTTCTCCCTTTAGGCATTTTAGCAAATCTCCCAAGTGCTACTTCTTTGCATCTTCTGTTGTCAATAAATGGAGAAGTAATTCTGCTGCGAAGCAGAATTCATTGGAGAGGCCCGTTTGTAACAGGAAACTTCAATCTGCTAATGTAGAGCTCAGCCAATGCTATGCTTTTATGCCTGTAGCCACCACTTTTACTAGTGTATTTTATCTTTAACAACTATCTCAGATAAAGTCCTAGAAAAATAAACAGTCCAACTTTTTGGAAGGAAAGGAAGGGAGGAAAGGGAAATGTAATTACTTGCAATTAAATAACGCTTTAATTAATGTCATTAGTTTATGTGTCAGCACCTTTTTTTTTCTCTGAAATTGAGTAAGTCGAAAACTGAGCAGCAGCGGTACATTAAATAGCAGGTTGTAATCACACTTGTCACAGTATTTAAGGAGTGCATTCTTATAATGATGGATTGGTTTTTTTCTGATGCAAATTATTCTTTTATTTTGTGTTACTTTGTTTTAGGATTACACCCCGAAAATATGATGTCATTCAAGCATCTGAGCTTGGGCAGAAAGTTGGAACAATCACTGCTGATGTTGGAGATTTAACACTAAATCGAAGGGAAACAAGGACATCATTTACATTCAGGAAAGTGAGGAGAAGCCCTTGCAATTGCAGTAAGTGAGGTGATCTTCAAGTCAAAACTGTTATTTATCACCAATATGTAAGCTTTTTTTTTTTTTTTTTTCTTTTTTTTGAGCAAACTAGTTTATCCCTTTGGATAGTTTTGGCAGTCCTGGTAGCCATTCCTGAATGGCTCAGGGTTAGACATACTATATGGCTTCAATTGGTTGCATCCATTTGTAATTTCTCTGTACAGGAAGGCATTTGGCTTGCTCTAGAGCCAGGCAGGTAATCTGGAATCTTGCATTTCATTGGGACCTCAAGTGCTGGAATAATGTACCACAATAGAAGTAGCTACTATTCTTCAGGTTCCCATCAGTTTTTGTTGTTTTTAATTTGAAGGGGACTGTAATTTTCTGAAAATAAGTACATGAGAGAAGGAGAAGCAGTCAAATCTGCAGTGATAGAGCCATGTCAGTGCCTTAGAGCAGTACAGATAATAATAGATAGGTGGCTCAACAATTACATGGAATTGAAGTCCATTTGTGGCCTCAGAACAGAATTTCAGAGGCTGAATTACAGTGATGTCATGATCTTTGATATTAGGGGCACTGTCTCAGTTTTGAAAACATAAACCTCGTTAATATAGCAGGATGAACGATCACTGCAGACAGCCTCTGGTACATGTGGGCAGGTTGCTTGTTTTAAGGTCATCAAACACTTCTGCAGTTTGACCTGCATTTCAGTTTTTAAAAGGTAAAGGAGGAACAAAGCATTTTTTGCATTTTAATATTTCACTTTTAATTTTATTTTGCTAAATAAGTTTAACCAACAAGGAATGACTTTTTAAAAGTTTATTTTTTGTTTATCTGCTGCTGTATCTAGTTTACCCATCTGTCTGTGACAGCCAGAAAGGACAGCAAAGGCAGGTACAACCTTCATTTCCCCACAATGAGATGGAGGCCTCAAAGCTGGAGCAAGAATATGTACACAAGGTGTACGAAGAGATTGCCACACACTTCAGCAGTACCAGGCATAGCCCGTGGCCCCGAATTGTAGAGTTTCTCAGGTCTCTACCACAAGGGTCAATAGTGGCTGACGTTGGTTGTGGTAATGGGAAATATCTAGGCATCAACGAGGATTTGTACATGGTAAGTAGTAGCTACTGTCATTTGTTTTCATTGGTGCAAGTGTTTATTCCGTCATGCAGCTGTAGCATGTTGGAGCTTCAGTTGTGGGAAGAGTGCCAAGAACAGAAGGCTGTTTCCTGATCCAAGATCAATTACCAGTTGTGTTAGGTTTCCACATCCATTCACTATGTGCATTACCCTTTTCTTTCTTCAAAGCCACTTTTGCTTTGCAAGTCAAAATATGTTAATCAAAAAAATAGTAATGGGTGCAGCAGATTGAAAAATTGTAACGGATGCTCTAGCCTCTTTTGTTGTTGAATAAGCTTAATAAAAGGGAAAACGGTTGGGCAATTTGAATGCTTCCAACAAGTTTTTCACTTGGCTGATGGGTGGGGAATGCAATGTACATGTCCCTGAAATTTTCACGGGCAGTGCTACTTTTCGTATATCCGTTTCACTTCCCTTTGGCCTGGTGGCATGGCTCATTTGTGAATGATGTCATGTTTGGCTGTCCCACCTCTGACTCTGTGCATAGGCCCAGTAAATACGCCAGCATAAAATTCATGGGGGAGTCTCAACTTCAGCACAGATTTCTGGCCTCTCTCTCGCTCCTTTCTCTTCACTTTTAGACAGTTCTGACATTCTTCCTGATGTTCTCATCACCTTCCCCATCTCACAGTCTGTATGTAGCCTGGTTTTACTTCTCTCCCTTCCTATCAGGGAGACAGGAAGCACATAGAAATGTGAACCAAGAGGTAGTTTTTATTGCAAACATTTCAAAGACTTTCTTGCAAGGGTCAAACTTCCTGTTGTTTTTACCCAAAAGAAATCTTTCTGAGGTGTACATTATGCTATCTGCTCTCCCCTCTTCCAGAATTGTTTGATTCTTTCATGTGCTTGTACTGTGAAACACTCCTAAATCCATCAGGCTTGAAAACTTCTATGTAAGGCAAAACATTCATTATTAATAATAAAAGTCACACTTGTTTGTCTGTTTCAGGAGTTTCTGTCCTGCTATTTATATTCAGCTGTAAAACATAAGTTGATATTTACAGCCTTGTCTGTATTTGTAATGGATTTATTTGCATTACTGTTCTTATAAGCTAGAACAAAATCAACTGGTTTGTAAGTAGCCATGTTTATGCCTGACTGCTGTAGCCTGAAAATAATTACTCATGTTCAGTACATTTCAGTCTTCCACTCCTGACTCCTGTGAGAACAATCAGCAAACCTAACTAGAAAGGAGAAAAGTTTGTCAGGGTACCGTGAAGGTCACCTGGTCCTAGAATGAATTTGGTAAATTGCTGTTGTCTAGGTTTGTGGAAGGCTTTTAAGGTGAAATCTCTGCAAGATGCTATGTTGAGAAATTGCCAGCACCAGTCTGCTTTCTGCAGCTCACAGTTAAGCAGCTAAGGGAAAGAAATCACATACCTACTGGCAGTCAAATGAAAGCCAGCCCCTCTCCTCTGTTACTTTAGGAGTTGCCTCATTTCTTATGTGCCTGCAGGAGAAATCCAAAACATGAAAAGTAACAGTGAAAGGGAGGAAATTTTTAAAGAAGCAGTTGAGACAGCTGAAAAACAGAATCTGGGAATTACTTCATTCAGTTGGCCTACCTTCACGTTTTAATTTCTACTGGTGACAACTAGTTCTCCTTGGTTGGAGCTAGACTCTAGACTTTGCATTTGTTTATTTTCATCTGCAAGCTAGCACAGAGTCTCAGGAGGATGGATGTGACTGTTTCTTTCTACTATATTTATTTTTATACATCAGCCAAAGTGTGGTTAAAGAAAAACTGGTGTATATCATGTTTACAGATTTTTTTTAACCTTTTGACAAGGTACCTCAAAAAGACTGAGAACTAAATTATCGTAGGTGAAAGGAACGGTGTGGTGTTACACTGGTTTGGAGACAAAGGAAGGTAGGTCTGTTGGATGGCATTCTGTACTGATGAAGGGTTATCAGTGGGTGCCACTTAGATCGCCTCCCATGGATATGAGTAGTTGCTGCTAGTGAGGACAGTGAGGTGATCCAAGGGGACCTGATGGTTTGGGAGCAGGTTAACCTGCAGCAATCCATTTTCTGCTGAGAAGAAAAAATACTTTGGGCACATTTGGTGCCATTTATTGGATGCAACTCACCGTCACAAAATGCCAGAAAGCCAAGCACTGAGCAGCAGCCATAGGGATTGGGTCAAATTCTTCCAAGAGACATAAGATCATGTTGTTCACAGGTAATACAAACCCTTGTTCTTTGACTTGATGGAAAGTGCCAGTAGACAGGACTTAGCAAGACACTTTTCTTATGGTCAGCTTTTTAGAGAGTGAACTGTCGTCATGATTTTTTTATTCATCTTCCTCTAAAGCAACTGGTAATGGCTGTTATTTGAAGCAAGGTACTACTTTAAATATTTTGCTATTTCTGTGACTGTGGAAGTGACTGCTGTCAGTTCTTTATTTTGTGGACTCTGATCTGTGGGAAATCAGTACTCATATATTCCTGAATGGGATTTTTACCTCTATTCCCTAGCTGTACTGTTCTATAGGAAGTACTGCAGAACAAGTGTTAGTGACGTATCAGTATTATTACTGGTAGCCCATCTCCTTGGTATGGTGCCTGGGTTGGATGAGTTAGCCTGTTCAACTGTTCTTTTTATCTGAGGGAGACAAGAGCTGTCTTTTCCACTTTTTGTTGTCCTCCTGGGTTGTTATTTGGGCTCAACAGAAAGGTCTGATTGTACAGGGCTGTTCTCATGTTGCGTTACTTCCATTTACCGCATGGATCCAAGGGTGAGGTGTTAAATAATACTCTTTGTGTATCAGGTGCATTGTCAGGATAGGGAGAGTGCTCTCTAGATGCAGCGCATCAGTTTCCTCCCTCATTTACTCCTCTTGACTTGGGGGCATAAAATCCAGGCAGAAACTTAATAAATTGCTGCAGCCTTTCCTTCACAGCAATTGCTGTGGCTCTTGGTAAGGTTTTTACACAGACTGCACTGGAGCTCTTAGCCTAGGTCCTGTTGGGAAAGAAGCAATAAAGCAGTGCTGTGAAATTAGGAGATATTTAGGGGTTGAGTAGAGCACTGTCAGTACAGCCATGTAGCTTGGTGTGTTTTGACTCAGAAATACTGAAAACCTGAGGCAAGCACTTTCTGAGAGCAAGCGATGTGCTATAAAGGTTACTGTACGTTTTTAGACAGGATACTTCTATCTAAAGTAGCAGTGCTAATGGTAGATCAAAGCTAAGGTAGCCCTCTTGATGGTTTTAATCTTCAGGCGCTGTCTGAAAATATCTCCACTGTGGCCTGTGCTATTGTATTTGCCTCCGTTTCTTTTGGATGATTACATACAGTCTTATCTACTCGAGTATGGTTGTGTGACAGTGAAATGCATGAGTCCAGCTACGCGCAACGAAAATGACAGTGCTGTAATGGCTGCATTATTCTGACACAGTGAAAGAGCAGCAATTTCATGACAAACAAATTCAGATTAAGAATGTTTGAGCAAGAGATGGAATCCAAGTCTGATGTAGTTAGGACAAAGACTGGAGAAAGATTGAATTTAATAAAGTTTCTGATTACTTTTTCTTTTTCTCACCCAGCTTTTTTATTGTTTGAATGGATGCAAAAGAGAGAAATGGCTTTAAGTTTGTGGGTTTTGTGGTTTTGTGTTGGTTTTTTTTTTTTTCTTTTCACAATCCCCTCCCCACCAGTTTATATTTAAGTGCTTTCAAGCTTAATACTCATATCTGTAAGCTGGGCTTTTATTTTTACAGAATGCTACGTTTCAGCCTTACCCATCCCCCCATCACCACGAGGGTTTCATTCCAGAGACAGCGGACATCATTGCAATGTATCTCATCAATTTTTATGAGCTTTAGCTCTGTCTCCCAGTTCCCCACAGGACTGTTCAGCATCCTCACAGGGCTAGGGTGTGAGTGAAAGACATTGAAGCCTTTCAATTTTGTGGTTTACAGTTTTAATTGAACTGATAAAATGGTGGGAAATACAGTAACAAACAACTGAAAATGCCATTGGGTAGGTATTTTTTTCTTTATATATAAAGAAATTACTCTCCTTTCCAGAATACTGGTGCTAGGAAGAAAAATCATGGCAATGTAGGAGCCCAAACGCTTTGCTCTAATATAGACATTCCTATTTCTGTAGTGCCTGTCATTCAGAGGTAATCAGTAATGTTGCTTGTATTTCACATGACCTTGTAAGACACCCTTTTGCTGCAAGATGTGCATCTCTGTTTTCTGCATTACCGTCCCAAACTGGGATCTGCTGGAACTGCGTAAAAGTTGGATTTTGCCAGGGTGTGGCGAAGAGAGAGGGTGAAGATTTGCTGTGGTGTGGTTGCATAGTGGTGGGTGGGTTTTAGTTACACTGGGTCCATGTTGATTGAGAACAGATTCCTATCTGAAGGACTTAAGAGTGGGTAAAAGCAGGAAGGACAAAACTAACTTGCAATAGTATATTTGGAGCCAGTTCATTGTATTTTTGTGATTGGAGGGCGAGGCAGAGGAACCTTTCCTGCCCCTTTCTCTCAATGAGTAGGAATCATTAAAAATGATGGGAGATCTGAGATGAAGAGAGCTCAGAAGGAACTGGGCAACAGTGGCACAAAACCAGAATGAGCGCTGAACTGCTTAACTTGGTTCTGATGCTTTGTCATTGAGAAATGAACTTCACGCTGGTCGTGGTTTAGCCCTGGTCCCGGTGGGATGGGGGAGAGAATCTGAAGAGCAAAAGTACGAAAACTCCTGGGTTGAGATAAGAACAGTTTAATAATTGAACCAAAATAAAAATAATAAATTATAATGAAAATGAAAACAGAGAGACAGAGAGAAACGAAACCCAGGAAAAACAAGTGATGCAACGGCTCACCACCCGCTGACCGATGCTCAGCCTGTCCCCGAGCAGTGATTGCTGCCCCCAGGCCAACTCTCCCCAGTTTATATACTGAGCATGGCGTTGTAGGGTATGGAACAGCCCTTTGGCCAGTCTGGCTGTGCCCCCTCCCAGCTTCTTGTGCACCTGGCAGAGCATGGGAAGCTCACAAGTCCTTGACTGGTGTAAGCACTACTTAGCAACAACTAAACCATCAGTGTGTTTACAACATTATTCTCATGCTAAATCCAAAACACAGCTCTCCTTTCCCAGCCGAAGCCAGGACAATGTTTTAGACATAGTGCTTTGTTTCCACAGACACCCTGACTGTACGCAATGGAAAACCAAAACACTACATGAGAGGAATGCTAAAGGCCTGACTCAGACCAACTGGAGCAAGGAAATTTGTCTGTCTTGCTGTGGCTGTGCTGGTGTCTCTTTTCCTACGTATATGTGTGTTTGCTGGAATGTAATTTGCTTCCTTGAGGCTCTCATGCTATCAGTTATAGCTGAGGTGTTTCTCCGGGGAGCGACATAATTCCATTTGGCGGCTGGATTTCAGAATTAGATGTCGTTTTCTTCATCACTTTCTAATGTGCTGAATCAATCAGGTTTCCAGATACCTAAATGAACTAATTCGACCAGATAGAATTAGTTATAATGAGATAACATAGAAAGAAAATATATAATGGTGGGCAACATCGGCCTGTCTTTCCCTGTCTTTATTTAAGCTTGCAAGAGGATTTATTTCTTGCAGATTTCAGCACCATTATGAAGCAAGCTATTTATTTAGTGTCTTTTGCCCCCTAATGATCTATTCTAAACCACTGCATTAAGTAGATTTTATAAAACTTAGTTTAGCGACTCCTGGCTGAAACAGTGGAGGTGAAGGTGACTGGGAATGCAAAGGAGCGGGATGGGATATCTGCCTGTGTTATCCCGTTCCCAGGAAGCCAGTACAGAGCTGCTGCAAACTCAGACAAATCACAGGTGTTACATTAGTTTCTCCCTTCCCTTATCCTCTTTTATCTTAGTCTTTTTTGATGTTTCCATTAGTCTAAAGGTTTGCGTTACCCAGTGTGCCCTAAAGAGAAGGTGCTGTATGCCAGAATGACGACACGCTTTTGCCTCTTTCCTAAGTTTTGTGCTTGCTGGGGTTCTAGTTGCAGAGTTACAGGCCTCCATACTAATACAGAATTTTTGGCTTAAAGGAAGAGTTGGATGCAGTTAGTGTTTATCCAGATACAATGAAAATCAGTGCTGGAAATCCCTGCTAAAAATGTAAGTGGATTCTGAGCCCCAGTACATAGGTGTCAGTGGCCGCCCTGGAGCTCCTGTGAGCCGTTGTCCACATCACAAAAAGCAGTGAAGAGAGAGGTGGGGGTACCTACCCAAAAGGCAGGGAGGTGGGAATGGCTGCCTGGAGTAACACCTGAGAAGCCAGTCTCCTTTGGGGAAATACTGAAAGGTGTAGAGCAACTTGCTGAGAGGTGGATTCAGCTCAATAGTCAGGTATGCTATTTGAGATATATATGAGAAATTGGGGGGGTTGAGCAAGGAATTTGATTTGGAAAACTGGGAAAACAGATAAATGATTGAGAAGACTCACAGTAATAAGAAATGGAGAACCTTAAAAAATGCATACAACTTGGCTCACCAAGAGATGTACTAGATTCTGTTGGTTTTGGACACTGAACTAATGGTAATTGATCTACTGTTCTCCACTCTTCTAAAAGAGATGTCAGCAAGGACAGTATCATGTGCTGAGCATCAAAATTAGAGACATGAACTGGCAAAAATTAAAGCATTCCAGTTAAATTTTGAGAATTTTAAAAAAATATTTTGATTACATGTTTAATTAGAGAGAGAAAAATAAACCTGTTCTAAATTAAAACATTCCTTTGAACTGTTTTCTGTAAATGAAGCTTCATCACATCAAAGCTCCCACGTGCTTCAGGATGTAGAAATCAGTAACAGAATTGGGAAAAGTTGAGTTTGGGGTCTCTGCCCCTTGCTGTAAATGTTTTCTGTACTCATAAAAATCATAAGATAGGCTCATTTTCCAGCTGTCAGCTGGCATTGCACCACTGAAGTTAGCTGCTTTTTGCTAGCTTACTGTTTTCTAAGAGACCGAAACCAATGTATTTTGGTTTTTAATGAATGCATGTTTCTTATAAGCTAGCAAATGCAGTAATGTGGTGATTGTAATTCTTTTAAAATATCATGCAGAGATAATTCTAGTAAGGATGCTAAATTTGCTAAGCTCCGGCACCAGGCATATCTGTGGTGACTCCCTGTGTTCAGCATTTATGCATGTATAGGTAGCACCTATTACAATGTTTACATTTAAGACAACTTAAAGTTTTAGCCTAATATACCTGGTTTAGAGCAGCTGTGCATTCAGAGTGATCCATTTCAAGGTCTCCATTTTCATTGCGAACCAGAATCTTTTTGCTTTGGATGTAGATTCACTTTAATAACTATGACAATACGAGTAAGCCTGACTTTGTAATTATTTGATATAATTTAGATGCAAATGAGGACTTCACATTCTGGCAGTCATGCCTTTGTTCTCATTCTCAGTTCATTGGATTTCATCAACATACAGCGTAGTCCTTTTCAAGGTCATTTTGGGAGGGAGGATTGAGTTCCATCATCCAGCCCGTTTTTACTATAGATGCACAGGGCCAAAGCAATTCTTTCTGGGAAAGCTTGTTGTCAGTGGAAGTTGCAAGTGTTCTTCCCCCTCCTTCTGCCAGCAGCGAATTCGGTCCTTTGAGTTTTATTAAATACTGCATGCTAATGTCTTAATTGCAAAAGTAGTTGAAGGCACCGGTAATGAGGCGTGGAATCCCTAACATGCAGGTTGTCAGCTAAATCCATTCCATGATGAGAGTAATTTAAAGACACTTCAGTTGGCTTCCAGTGTGAAATGATGGGGATTTATGTTTACTTCCAAGTAAACAGGAGTTTCCTTTTTTTATTCATAGATAACACTATCCACTCCGTGCTTCAGTAAACGCAGAGATGAGGCCAAGGAATAAATGGGAAGAAAGCAACGCTAGGACTGATCTTTTCAGATCTGTTTAGAGCTAACTGGCAGGACAATACGTACATGTTCATAGTACTGTTTTTGTGGAGGATTATCTTGGGTTATCAGGGTGGCATTTTCACAACCATTTCATTTACTTTGGACCAAAAGTCGGGGACCTGACTAGAAAGCAGCTCACCTGGAAGCTTTCAGGACATGTGACGGGAACAGAATCCTGGATTTCTTCAGAACTGTGGTGGTAGACTGAAAGCTAAAATGATTTGAACCGATAAAATGAAAAGTTGTGATGGAAAATAAATATATTTTCATTAATCGTTGCAAAAGAGATTTTTAATTTTAGCAGTACTGTTGTCTCTGCTGGGTTGATTAACCAGAGCAAGTTGTTTGCTATTCTTCTTGCAGCAAGGATGGTTTAGTGTTCTTTCTGTGTCAAATGCAATAAATGCTGTCAGCAATAATTATTAAGGATTCTGAATCTCTTCTCTGCTGTCTACTTGTTGCTGATCATTGAAAACAAAAATAATATTCTCATGCAAGCTGAGTTTGATATACGACTTGGTGGCAAGGCTTTGGTTTGAGCATTCAGTGTGCGTGGCAGACATGAAAATGAGGGTGGTGCCTGCCTCGCTCTATTTGTTCTTTCAGAAGGGTCTTGATCAGTTTGGATTTATTGGTTTTATGGAAGCACGTAAAAAACCTCTTCTAGGTGCTTTTTCTTACCATCTCTGACCTGGACACTGGGCAAACTTCAAAGGGGGGAAAAAAAGAAACATTTTATGAGGTGTCCTGAAATGGTTCTTAGGGTTTACTTCATTTGGACTGCACAGAACCTTGGAAAATTATGTTGTGCTTAAATTTTTGTGGATTGCGATACTGAGGGTGAAGAGGACTGTACCTGAGCACATCCGCACTTCCACTGAAATGGCGAAACCTGGGTGATCAGTGAAGCTGGGCGACATACTTCAGTGGTGCCACCAAGGTCACCAGATCGTTGTTCACACTCACAGATTCAGCTTTTGCAAGTTCAGTATTTGGCTGCTTCAAATGTTGTCAGGTTACAAATGGCAATTGAAAGGAAAAGAAAATACTGAGGTTAGGTCACCTCTTGTTTTGCTGGTTTCAAGATACCTTAAGAGCCAGTTTTGAGGAAAAGTTAGGTTGAAACTTGTTCTGTCTTAAGCTGGTTCAAAATCAGGGTGCTATAATGAGCTGTCTGATATCCAGTCTGCCATCTTTGTTTTAAGTAAGCATCAGGTTTTTTTTTCTTTTTGTCTATACCTGGGAACCATATATTCCTCTTACTTAAGGCTATTTTCTCACACTCGCTCTCGTTTTTATTTTAAACTAAACTGTGTTACCTCAGTAGGAGACTGTGATGACTCTTATTACCGTAAGCATCAAGTGAAAATCATTTTCCAGTCTTGTAGTTATCCTCTTATGATTAATGAAACACTTTCTGTTACAGGTTGGCTGTGATCGCAGCAAAAACCTGGTGGATATTTGTGGAGAAAAAAATCTCCAGGCTTTTGTCTGTGATGCCCTGTCAGTGCCAATCCGCAGCGGTTCTTGCGACGCCTGCATCTCTATTGCTGTAATCCACCACTTCTCAACAGCGGTAAGCCACCCCTCCCTGGCTCCACTGTACTGCTCTGCAGAGCTGCTAATATTCACAAATCTGCTAGTTTGGGCTCATGGAAGCAAAAGGGAAGAACAAAATGGGGGGAAATGGAAGGTTTGGCCTTGGTGTAAGCAGTTCTCAGAGCAGAGTTAAGCTGTTGGGCTGCTGCTGCTTAAACTTTCTCTTCACGTTCTCCCTCTGCTTGTCAGATGCCCTGGCTCCTCCTGGCACTTTGATCTAGGTTTTTGTGTTTCATTTTTGTCTGCTTACAATTAATGACACTGGAGAAGGGGGCTCTGCTTCGGGACTCAAGAGATATGTTATTTCCCGGCTCAGATCATAAGCAGATCTCATGTTTTTTTCCTCTGTGCCTTCATTGTCCATCTGCAAAGAACGACAGGGACACTACTCATTAGTCCGCTGTATCTCCAGGCTGTGTAAGCTTCTTCTGGCAGGAACTGTACGATTGTAACAAGCTTTTAGACCATGAAGCCATACTCTGAGGTGGGGCCTAAGGGAATGTTTCCAAATGCAATGTAAAAAGTAGGAAGAAGTCTGTTTTGAAGAAGGCTGACGTGTCTTTGGTTGGTTGGTCAGAAGACCTGTGTTTAAGCCATAAATCTGACTCCTTTAGCTGCAAACTTAGGATGTGTATCATCAGGTACAGTAGAGCTGAATCTGGGATTTTAGATAGTGAATAACCTTTTTGAAGAGGTGTGTGTCATTTCCAGTTGGGCTGATATGTCCAAGAAATCCCACTCAGCCCAGGGCTGTTTTCAAATGAAAAGAGAATTGTGTTCAGGAAAATGTCTTGGCTTGCTTATAGTGACGGGCTATATTATCAATGAAAACGAATAGTGGAAAAAATTCCTCTGTTTTTTATTGTATCTGGGGGGGGGGGACAGTAAGGAGGAATTGCTGCCATTCCACTCTCCTGTCTTTCTGTTTATGTACTAGCTTCACACTTTCATTTTTCCTTTATAGGAGAGGAGACTGGCTACTATCCGTGAACTAGTTCGGCTTCTGAGACCTGGTGGAACGGCACTCATTTATGTCTGGGCAATGGAACAAGAATACAAAAAACAGAAGTCTAAATACCTTAAGGAAAAGAACGGTGGTAAAGACAAGAAGGAGGAAATCAATACTGGCACGGCCCAGAGACCGCTTAGTGATCAAATGCCTGGTAGCAGCAGCCAAGACTCAGCATGTTCTGGCCGACTCCTTAATGACTCGAAGGACGAAGGCTGTGATGCAAAGCCAGTCGCAGACTCCAGGCTGCCTGTCCACACTAACCGAACCTCCTTTCACGCTCAAGATTTGCTGGTTCCCTGGCACCTGAAAGGTGACCCTAAAAAGAAAGGAGAAAGTGTTGATACAGCGTCGCTTCCAGCTGGCTCTAAGGAATTGCGAGAACTCAGCCCTGTTTTCCACCGTTACTACCATGTGTTCCGTGAAGGGGAACTGGAAGCAGCATGCAGATCCCTGGATTGTGTGAGGGTTCAAAAGAGTTACTATGATCAGGGAAACTGGTGTGTGGTTCTGGAAAAGTTGTAGTTGTGGTGTTTCCTCCACTACCTCTGGTGGGTTTTTTGTTTGTTTTTTACAGTGTGAAAGGTATTTTTAATGCAGGTTGCAGCTATTACCTCTTTTAAAGTAGCAGAATAAAGATTGTTTATTGAGTTAATAACAATAACTAGCACTGTGTGCATATGTTGACAAAATAATGGCCAAACTCAGATACTACCTCTGCAGAGCATTTATTTTACTTCTGTGAATTACAGCGAAGAGGATTAAGTGGGAAAATACTGGCCATGGAAATCAGTAAGGGCAGTGTTGAGTTTTTAAAGACAAAGGGCCTGGTTCTCCCTTTTCTTACACCAGTTTATGCTGGTGTAGCTGTAGTGGCCTCCCTACAGCCCACAGCTAATTGGAATGGAGCTCTGGGCAGGACAGGTAAAGCTGTTTGCTGCATGAAACTGTGGCTCAGAGAGGAGGGAATGAGTGGCATGTGAAGCAGGTCAGCTGAAGAGTCGAAACATTGCCTAAAGTTCAGTAGAGGGTCCTGCCTGTTTTGGTGTCTGTCAGGGGTCACGGCTCTTTTTCAGCTTGGAATTTACTCTCTTTTCTTGGTCATGGCACTAATGATTTCCTCAAGGGGAACTGGAAAGCTAGTGGGATACCACAGCCCTTTCTCTCTTCCTTGACCCTCAAGCACCCACAACTCATGCTGTCGCTCCCCAGATTGGTCTAGTGTTGTTTGAAAGCTCCTCTGAGGTGTGAGGTCGCCCAGCTGGAATATCCTGGCCAGCTCTGCTCATCGCCTGCCTTCCTGTGAGCGCAGGGCTCTGTGCCTGCGGCACCAGGGCTCCTGGAGCGGTGCCAGCTCAGACACCCCTGGAAAAAAGCAGGAAAAAGATTAAAGTGAGAGCAATATTGGTGCAAATTTTCTTCAGGGTAGTTTCAACCCCTAAATGTTGGCAGTGGAACAATTGTTATTTATTGTACTTCAGAAGAACAAAGAACTGGAGTAGAGGGGAATGGATGCTGGGCTGGCTGACAGCCACTGCTGCTGTTGCCTGCAACGACTAGCACAACTTATTTAATACAGCTCTTGTGCTATCAAAGGAGCATGCCACCTGCAATGCATTTCCAGAATTAAAATGTAATGGACTGGCTTTTGCACGATGAATGGCTATTGGTGCCTCTGAAAACCAGTACTGCTCAGCTATGCTCTCATTGCCCTTTTTATTGATTCATCACCTGTAGTTGTAGCGAGACCCATGGTATAGGCAGGTCATTGCTGCTGTAATGGCATCTAAACTGAGGTGCCCATCCTGAATCATGGGGACTTGGAGGACAGCTATGTGCCCTTGGCTTACTCCTGCCTGCCTCAGACTTGGAGGTTAAAGGGGTTGCTGTGCTGGCAGCTTGCTCCCAGTTACCATTTCTCCTAGGCTCTGCCATTTTCCCCCCATCATATAATGGAGAAAATCTGGCAGTGGTAAGAGAGGAGCTTGCTGTCACCACAGTTCATCTGGCCTGTGCGTTGCTCGCTATCTGCCCTTGGGGAAGGAGATCTCCTTCCTCAGCTGCATGTGTTGTCCATGTAGCAGCAGCCCTGTCCTAGCTGGTTTCTTTGGGCCACAGGGAGGCAGAGGGGCATGTCCATGGCAGATGAGCCGCCTTGGGCATATTCAGGAGTTGGTTTGCACACATTCAATAAACGCCACATAGCTGGGAAATGTTGGACCTCCCATATGTGTGCTCTTCTGGTATGCGGCACAGCTGGTGAGTTTATGCAGGAGGAGCCTTCCTTTCTCCTTGATAATATCTGTGGTCGGGCTGTTGGGCATCGCTCATCAAGACCTTGTGATGTGAGCAGGCCCTGCTGTCGTAGTGCTGGGAACTAACTATCGATCGTGCAGTTTCTATCATGGGAGCAACTCACTGTTTGAACAGTGCTCTGGGTGTGCAGGTGTGCAGGAGAAGGCAGGTGTTACTCCAAGCCTTGATTTAAGCAAGAAAGTCCAAGACGGGAAGTAGAAACCGAGTCCAACGAGTGAAATAAACTGGTTGATGCCATCTCTCTGGCAGAGATAGAAATGTGATTCATTCCCTGACTGCATTGCAGGACCAGGCTACCCCTCTAATCTTAACACGTTTACAGCATAGCAAACTGTTCATTTCCCAACTCCAGACAACTGCCTGCTCCCCACCCTTGCGTGCAGCGGGGCTTCCCCACACTGTTGGAGTGAGAGGCGCTAATCATGGCTCTTGCAGTCAGCATGGAGGTTCTCACACACTGAAGTTCTCATACACCTCGTGGGCAGTGATCGCATGTGTTTGATATTCAATAGGGCTGGTACCTATTCTCTGGCTTGGCTTTTTGCTCCTCCTTTGCCCCTTGTTTGCCTCTTACTAATCCTTGGTTCTGCTGTTTCCTATTTACCTCCTCTTCCTTTGACCTAGAGGGGAACTCGCTTGTCCTTGCTTCTGCTCCCAGCTGACGTGCTGTGGGCAGAGGGTGGCCCTGGGAAGACATGCAGGAGGGTGCTATGCTGATAGTTACCATGAGTAAATGGCAACACTGAGTAATATATATTCAAGCTAAGAAGACTTAAGGAAATGTGGAAAATCAGCTGTGAGACCTGGGTTGTTAGTTTACTTTTACTTGGCATTACATACTGCTGAGAAACCTGCCTACCGGTTACTAGGACTGCATCGTGTTTTGCAGGGGTGTCCCAGCATGCTCTCTTCCCTCTGGGATACTTCCCAGAAAGTTGCATTTCCCACTGGAGGCTGGTTTTCAGAAAGGCCCTGCATGATGCAGTTTTGCATTGAGGCCTCTGAGCTGGCTTCAGTACTGGGAGGCCGTGCCCCCAGTTCCCAGGTGGGCTGTGGGACCGGAGCTAGCCGGGACGGCTCCCTGGCGCAGTGCCACACGGCGTCAGTGTGTCACTGGTGACACGGGGCAGGGACAGCCTCTGTTGGGTGTCTGTGCAGTGACTAACTCACTATATGGGGCTGCCTGTTATTTCTGATTACTATGGATTGCATTCACGTAGAAGAAAGTAGGAGGACCACACTTCTTAAGCTCTTTATCTGCATGGCCATGTGTTTGTCAGTGGCGCCGCTGTTCCATTTGCCTGTTGGTGCATTTTCCGTAAGGATATACAGTGTGCTGGCAAGAAACGCAAGCACTGCTTGAAACAGTCCAAAGTGCTGGCCTGTCTTGACCTTGCGTGACAAATTAGGAATCGGGTCTGTGGTAGTGCTCGATTACTCAACGCACTCTTGTTCTGACCGGGGAGAGCACAGAGGTGCTGCCTCTGCATTAACCGCTGGCTCTGAGCTGGGCATGGGGTTAAGTGCTGTTCTAACCTAGGGTGCGAATGCACCAAGTAGACATAAACCCTGAACAGTCGAATGTGGGCTTCATGTAACAAAGTGATCTATTTTTTCTCAGGCCCTGTGGCTCCCCCAGAGCTCTGCTGCTTCCCTCCGCTTCCCCGGCAGAGGCAGCATTAGGCAGTGTCTGGTGTGGCACTAAGCATTTCTTGACTGCCAAGGCTGATTAACATCATTTCTTGACTGCTGCATAAATGAAGAAGTCAGATTCCAGTTCACCAGTTCTACGGTGAAGCACCTGGGATATCTGAGGAAGGGTCAGACTTTGCTATCAGCCTTTGAAGACCATCGGTATTCCGGTATTCCACTGCTTTTAGCTAAGTCACAGCAGCATTTCCCATCCGTTTCACCCTGCCCCAGAGTAGAAAGTTGCTCTCCCTGTCCCAGGCAGGCTGGCGGTGATGGGTCTCAGCTGGTCCTTGTTCTGGAAGGGGCTTCTGGCGTGGAGAACACTGGCTTGGGCAATGCTGATGTGTGGGTTGAATGTGCACTACATAACTCGTTACCAACGGGGGTTTTCCCGGCATTCTCAAGGGCTGTGAGCTGGAGGCTTGGTCCCAGGAGCACGTCAGCTCTTGAAAGACATTAGAAGAGCTGAAAGAACTCTGACATCCTCCGAGACCTGGAAACGTTATGAAATATTTCTTTGATCAAAGTCAGGCAGTCTCTTCAGATGCTCGGAGAGGAATCAAGGGGTGAAGGAGAAAATGACAAGGCAGGACGGCAGGTAGATGTTAACAGAATGTATTGCAGAGGTTTCTGGAGGAGCTCATTACAACACAGAATTACGTGCCACCACAGCTGCCCTCTGCAGTACTCGCTTGCCCCATTTTACCTCCTGGAAGTGTGATGAGCTGAAACTCTTTAAGGTCAACAGTTGGATTTAAATGTTACAGGTTTCACAGTGCAGTGGTTTTCATAATAATTATGTTCCTTTTTGGGCCTTATTTAAATAACAAATGTGCTTAAATGGTTATTCATTTGCAGTCTAGAAGATAAAGGGAAAGCAGAGCTCCATGTGGGTATGACCTGTGCTGTGAATGCCGATGCCTGTCCTGCAGCAGCCCTCCCCCGTGTCCCAGTCATCCTCAAACTGCCTCAGTGCACCCAGGAGTAGGGAGGTGGCAATTCCTGCTCTGGCCCAAATCCAACTGTTAGTTTAGCCCTGGGCGTCTGCAGGCAAATGTCTGGTGGTGTGACCAGAGGGGGCTGTTTGTTTTGGGGGTCACTGTCCCCCTTGTTCCCAGCCTCCTGTTCCAGGCACCCCCAGGCCACCCCACCTGACCCTACATCAGACAGACCTGTCCGCTGATGTGTTGCACTGTCCTGCCCTGACAAAACAAGTGCTTCAGAGCATTTGCATGCTTAAAGCTACGTACACAAATCGTGTGATTTGTTTTCCCGGGACAGACAAAAAAATGAAACCTGGAAAGCACTGAGGACTTCTCTTAACTTCATAGAGGTCCTTCAGACTGATATCCTGGTGCAGCGATGCCAGTGGCAAAACTCCCCCAGACCTCAGAGAGGCTGGATTTCCCTGGAAGTGCTCAACTTAACCTTAGTGCAAAGAAGCTTAGGACAGCAGATGGCAAGGGACAACATGCTGACTGTGTTGCTTTGCTGACTGAGAGCCCTGAAAAGCTGCA